GCAAACTGATCCTGATAAGGCAAAAGCAGTGCGTTACTGGCCAACACCAGACAATGTAGGAGAGTTAAGAAGTTTCTAGGGACTCTGTATCTATTACCGGAAGTTTGTGAAGGACTTTGCAACTATAGCTGCTCCACTACATGATTTGCTAAAAAAGGCCAGAAGTTTGAATGGACAGTTTCTTGCCAGCATTCTTTCAAGACGTTGAAGGAAAAATTGGCCTCCGCTCCACTTTTAAAGCTTCCAGATCCCTAACTGCCGTACATACTGGATTGTGTTGCCCAGTAATGTCGGAATTGGAGGAGTGTTGTCTCAGAAAGTGGGCGAAAACGAACATGTGGTGGCCTACTTCAGTAGTGTTTTAAGTAGACCAGAGAGGAACTACTGTGTAACATGTAGAGTCTGACATATTTCCACCCTTACCTCTATGGTGCAAGGTTTACCATTAGGACAGACCATGCTGCATTACGCTGGTTAAGATCATTAAAGAACTTAGAAGGACAACTAATACATTGGATCGGAAAAATAGACCAGTATAATTATAATATTGAATATAGAGAAGGCTAATTTCATGGTAATGCTGATGGACTGAGCCGAAGACCCTGCAAAAATGACAGCAGACATTACTGCAAAAGAGAGGCTGAATTAACCAGGTGTCATCAAGCTCAAGTCAAGCCGACTGAAAGAGTTGTTGATGGTGAAGTGGAATCAAATATAGATATCAAAGCAGAACAGGAGAAAGACCAAGGATTGAAGCCAATAATTGATTTTCTAAAAGCAAGTGTTCTGTGCCCTGCTTGGAAGAAGGTATCTAGTCTAAGCCCTGTGACTATATCAGGTATTCTTCTCCGGAGATGGGAAACTGCAGATGGAAAAGTGACGACCTGGCAAACGGTTTTACCAAGAAAGTTATGGGAAGTTGTGTTGTTTCAATCCCATGATACTGTAACAGGAGGACATCTCGGAGTTAAGAAAACATTGAGTCACCCACGACACAGATATTACTGGATAGGTATGAGAC